ATATCCTGGACCCGGAAGTCACGCAGGTAGCTATAGCTGCCTACGTGGTGATGTTAGATGATGCCTGGGAATGCTGGGTCTTCTAATTGAAACCACAAATGTGCGGTTAGCTCCTGTTGGTGACACCGTGCATATGTGATGTTTTTTCATTTTTGGTAACCAGTTGTTGTACATCTTTGCAATTGGCTGCACCGCGCTGATGAGGCCAATAGCCAGAAACACGTGTCCGCGGTTTGCCTCCATATTTCTTGAGTGTTCTGTCCACGAATTTCCCCCTTTTGATGTATATCATACATAGGAAAATTTATTCTCTATCTTTTTGTATAGGTCACTTTTCTATACCAACCGCGTAGTTCGCAAGTTATTCGCAAAACTAAGTCGAATTTTTCACAATTTTTGCCGTAAAATTCTATTGGCAACCCTCAGATTCGTGTCCACCAGTCCAAAATTCTATTAAGAACCAATTTTCGAAACTCTTGCAAAACTTTCCGCAAAAAAACACAAGCTATCTAGACTAGAAGACCCATACGCAGAAATGATTCGACAAGCCATAGCATCGAAGTTTGGCCAGGAAACCCTCATGCCACACACGGCCAAAGGCCTCAGGAATATCAAGCGCAACAGCTCTTAATTCTACATGTTTCTCGATTGCGTTATTCCAAATATGTGTTCCTAAGTTGTTCAAAGATGAAAAGATTATCAAATCAAGAATTAAAATTTTTTTAGACTTCTGGGGTCTAATAAAAAATGGTCTCCGAAATAATACCGCTTTTCCTTATTTGTAAAGATCGATGCTTTTCATTAAGTTCTGCCTTTCATGGCAGAAATATAGTATATAAAATAATTATGTTTTCGGGAAATGAAACACATTTCCTCTCAGCCGGTCTTTATCAATGATGATTGAATCAATGTGAGAATCTCAAGGAGCTTTTTTATTCCCCAAACTTAGGGAAAACAGCGCCTTCAGAACTCTTTACTATATTGATTGTTAGAAAAAAAATATTTTCGAAAAATAATGAAAATAATAAATACTATTTCCTGCAAGTTTATTACTGCATTAAAAAAAATCACCAAGAGTATAATAAAAAAAGTTTGCTGAACTCGTTTGAAATGTATAAAACTAGTTTTGTTAACAGATTTGTAACAAACTACTGAAAAAATTTAAATATTCTCTTTTGATGGGTATGAATGGAGGTTCATTATTGCATTAACATTTTTTATCTGCAATACACGTAATTTAATTTGAATGATGAACATTTTTTGTCTGTTTAGTTGCTTCGTTAAATAATTAAAACTTCGAAATGAATTTGAATTTGATTGATCCCAACCAGTTTTTAGATGCATCAAAAATAATGTTTTTAATCAAAAGTGAACATTCCAGTAAAATAATTCATAGAACACATTTTCATTAACCAAGTAGAATATCTGAGTAACATTCAAATTTTCTAACATGATTTCTTAACAACTCAATTTTGCAATCAGTGTAAAATAAATATTTCATCCAAAGTTCTGTAAACACAATTTTGATGTATTTATGGCATACCAACCTACAAATAAATTATTTTGAAATGTTCATGTGAGCATATGATTAAAGACAGATTTAGTAAATTTTTGACTAATATGTCTGTGCTATAATGGAATATAGTTAGAACCTTTACGGAAGAGATTTCTGAAAGTTATTACAAAGAGCGGAAACACAACTGATCTTCTCCGTCATTACAAGAGTATATTTTCAAGTGTGGGAATTTTCGAATGCACACAAATGTGTATTCGCAACATACTCGTAGTCACCATGAACACCTGTTTCGTGAGGCCTTTGTCAAATTAAAAATCCTTAGTAGGAAATTTGTTTGAACTAATTAAAACGGTATAGATGAATATATATTAACCACTACCATTAAGTCCAAGGTCATTTTTTTTACGATTATCTCGAAGTATATTACTATATCTTTCAGTTCCGCAACGTTGCCGGTAACAATTCGATGTTTGGAAGAAAACAATGGGGTTGATCGTAGAGTGGCCCGTTTTGCTCTGCCCATAGGATCCACCATCAACATGGATGGTACGGCTCTGTATGAAGCCGTCGCAGCTATTTTCATTGCCCAAGTTAGACAAGTACCCATGGATTTTGGTACATTGGTAGCTATCAGTGTAACCGCTACAGCAGCAAGCATTGGAGCGGCTGGAATTCCCCAGGCCGGGTTGGTAACAATGGTTATGGTCCTGGACACTGTCGGATTACCTGCTGAGTCTGTCAGTCTGATTTTAGCAGTCGATTGGTTACTGTGAGTATTTTTTCCAAAACAGTTCAACCAAAAATCATATGAAAGAACAAATTGGCAACAATAAGGTAAAAATCATTGTTTGGGAACCTTTATTCATCTAAAGTAATATGGTGGCCAGACGAAATTTGTTGAAATAATTAATAATGTACGTAAGTCAAGATATCAATAGCTCTCCCTTCCATAGAGTGCATATTTGTGAGATATATTCTGTTGGTTTTTTCAGTTCAAATGGGTTGAAGACCCCGTATGATCGAGATATATTTAATAAACATTAGTTTATGTTGACAGCTTTTTTCCAGAATTTTATTGGGAGGTGAATTATAAAAACATTTTGGGCACATACCCAACTAAAACAAAAAAAAATCGTAAGACAAGACAACAAGAGTCTAACCTTTCAATCTCACCAAGATTTTAAGATAATTTTTAAACGTCACCATGAAGTAATATACTTGAATAGCTCTATTCAAAGCAGCATCAGATGAAATTCAGATTGTTCACATTTACAAAAATTGTGTAATCAATTTCAAAATAAAGTCTTTACAGATGTAATAATACCAAATTACCTGATAATTATAAGCTCAGATATTGTCTCCCTCTTCAGTGATGTGTACCTGGACGCTTGTAATATCAATGAATACCTTATTTTTAAATTATCACTTTCCTATTTGATAAATACATATTTTATTTTCAATGACAAAATTTATAGAAACAATAGTAAGAAAGTTCCAGTTCAGAAGAATTCATTCTTGTCTCTTAATGATGGTAACTGTTGAGAAATCTAATATTTCAAGTGAATATAAAATATGATTTCGAATATAAAAATGGACGTCTACTCATCAGTGTCCGAAACCGTAACTGTGAGAGTAAACTTGAGATAAGTAAAGATTTCTATCAAAACAAATAATTCTGGATAACATGAGGGATACAGTCACTGATTCGCCATACGAAACATTAATTTCTCATGAAATTATGAACATACTAATGGATTAAGGTAATCACTTTGTAATTAGGGAGGTCGTGAGAACATTTTCGAATTGAAAACGATGCCATGTCATCACAATTGAAATGGAAAACATGTATTACCTGAAGTACATTCCATACAAGGAATAACTTTGAAATCGAATGAAAATAAAATTAAATTGAACGCCTCATAATCTTGTGATTGAACTCGATGAAATAAACAATTTCATTGCGGTATTATGAGGTGAATTAATGGATTTGGATCAGATTACAGAACCGTTGTTCAGAAAACAGAAAGTCAATTCATTTCGATGATTTTATATTCGCAAATAAAGGGCTTTCGAAATTCTAAATAATCTTATTATGAAACAACGTTCAGTCAAAACTAATGTTGATTTTAAATCGATATTTAGTTTATTTCTAAAAGTGACACTAATCGATATTTGAATCGATATGGAAAAAGTGAAAAGTTTATTTACATTTTCGAAATCTTTTGATCGGTTATACGTAATGATTTTTTTGTCGAAAATAGTCTGAATAAAACTGAATAAAAGTATAAATAAAAAGTTTGGCGTATATTGAAAATTACCACACAAATCAAAAAATGTAAAACCCTTTTTTAGTACCTGTCTGAAGAAAACATTACGGCAGAAACATTAACGTCTCCTTCTTTAACCACTGAGTTATTGAAAAGGTCAAGAAGTTATCAAAACAAAGACTGAATGAATGTATTCAATGTACTTAGTAAAGGATAACTAAATTCTGGTTTGATTTTAATAATATGTATAAGTGGAAGGACAACATGCTGGTCGGGCTCTGTCCCTAAAGCTTCGACGCGCCAGCATTATTACCTAATGACCATTTCCCACATCGTGAGATAAGTGATCATTGGGTCCAAGAATCATGTGCCCTAAGCAAGCGTGTGAGCCAAGAACGACAGTCTTCTGCATTTGTCTGGCCAAGAGTTTTGCTTTCGTGCAGCAAGTCAGCATGATATCAATATTCGAAAGTGAAGAGGGCATCATTTCACTAAGGAATTCAATAATCAGAACAACCACCTCAACAGTGTGGTCTGCGAAGGATGCGTTTGGTACCAGATACAGAGCTGATGTTTCTGCCCAACTAATACATGTTGATAAATGTGGACATTTTTGTCCATCCAAGTTAGGTTACCGGTATTATCTCCAGTTGTTAGGAATCATACGTTAAAAGGTAAGACCTCGGTAGTCCTTGTCGTTCGTATGGGGGCGACAGCTGATTAACGGAAAAACATATTTTAAAACAGATTTTTTAGAGTTCAAAGATGATATTGGTAGGTTTCGTTATGTCTTCTTTATCAAAAAAAAATCTGAGATTGTAGAAAAGATGTAGATTTTGCTATGGGCTATGGGCTACAACGTTCTGGAATTCTTGTCTGTTGTAGGTGGATAATTATCAAATAGAAAAATAACTCAAGTTCTCAATAACTATGGGATACGACGAAGAATCATCATGTCAGACACTCCTCAGCAGAATGATTGCGCAGAACGGGATAATTGAACAGTGATTGAAACTGTACGAGCTTTGATGCATGCTAGAGAAGAGCGAATGAGTCAAAGCTTGTGGGTTGAAATGATCAATACAGCTGTTTATATTTCAAACGGATCCGGAACATCTGGTATCAAAGACAAATCTCTCTTCGAAATATGGTTCAAAAAGAGGCCAAATTTGCGGCCTCTGAGAGTGAAAGTCAGTTATTGCTACGCAAACACAACAAAAAGATGCCAAAAGAAAATGGAAAGAAAGGCTATAAAAGGACTACTCACTGAATATGAGAATTATGATGGATATCGCATCTGGTTTTGGGAAACTAGGAGGCTAGTAAGATCTCGTGATGCAATTTTTTACGAATATAAACCATTGAATTTCGATGAAAATAACACGTCAGAAAAAGAAGATATACCAGTAGACACGCATATACCGAGAATACACCGGATATCACCGGCTCTCGAACTGAAGAGAAAGAAGATCCACTTCTAGAAGATGAGGACATTGTGATAAAAAGGAAGCTGAGAGATAGAAATGAAATCAGAAAGCCATTCGGTTTCGCTGATTATGCCATCATTGTTGCTAGTAACATAACTGAACCTCAAGAACCACTCACTCACAAAGAGTTCATCTCCTGCCCTGAGAAAGATCATCGGATTCAAGCAATGGAAAATGAAATTGAATCTCTTGAAATTCGAACTTGGATTATGGAAGAACTGTCACTTGATAGGAAAGCGATTTCATGTAAATGGGTTTAAAAAAGGAAGCTGAACGTAGATAAATTCAAGGCCAGACTAGTTATCAAACGTTATTCACGAAAAAAGGGTGAAGACTACGATGAAACCTTCAGCACTCTAGAAAAACGTATTAAGATAAGAGCTGTTCTGAGTATTGCTGCTAGTAGAAAAATGAATATCACCCAGATTGGTATTAATGCTGCATTCTAATATGGCGAACTTGACAAAGAGGTTTGTATGAAACAACCTAAAGGATATGAAATGATACTAATCGAGTCTGTCGGCTTCGGAAAAATTTATATGGACTCAAGCAAGCACCAATATGTTGGAATAAGCGATTACGTAATGTTGTGAAGAAACTTGATTTTCAGCAAAGTAATGCAGATCTATGTTTGTACATAAAGAAACATGGAAGTGATATGATAATACTGGTCCTATACGTTGATGATGGTGTGCCTGCAACAACTAGTGATTCATTGAAGAATAATTTCTTGCGGAATGAAATCAAAATGACAGTGAAACATGTTTTCTATTCCCTAGGATTATGAATTGAAACTGAAAACGATGGTTCGATTCAATTGAATCAAGCAGCCTATACAAGAAAAATATTAAAACGCTTGCAATATTGTAAACTCGTCTCAACACCGATTGTGTAAGATTGTGATCAATTAGAGAACGAATCCGAAATGGATTTGAATAAAACTTTCCAATACACAGAGGCGGTTGGAGCTCCTATGTCTCTAATGACAGGTACAAGAGCAGACGTTGCTTAAGAAATCAGTGTTGTTTCCAGGTTCTTAAACGATCCCAGCAATCATATTTGTATCTAAGTAAAACAAATACTTCGATACCTCAAAGGAACAACATTATGGTATAACGTACACAACAACCAGTGTGGATATTCTGAGAAGTTTCAGTGATACTAACAATGGCGGAGATGAAACACGTTCAACAAGAGGGGTTATTGGTATATATGCTGGCGGGCGATATCTTGGCTGAGGTAGGTATTTTCTCAACAGAAGCTGAGATAGTAGCTGCAAGTGAACTGAACTGGTTTAGTTGAAACGGCTATATAAAGAATTTTTGGATATAGAAAACAATCCAGTATTGATGGTCGATAACGAAGCTGCAATACGCTTGACCCAAAATCCAGAATATCACAGACGTACTAAACATATTCATATAGGACATTTTTGTGAGGAGACTGGTCTTAAATGGAGCTATTTCAATTCAAAAAATAACATCAGAATACCAAGTAGCAGATGCACTTACCAAACCGCTGTTCAAGCCAAGACTGAACATTCTACGACAAACAATGGTAATAAACAAATTATTTGACCATTTTCATAATTTGGTAATTTGTTTTTGTTGTTCACATTGCATATGTTTATAAGTAGACGTAACGAAAATGTGGGTCAAGTTGTATCAAATACATACAATAATTCAAGAGTTTACTTGAGATACTTCTCTACCTCAACAGTACCTATGATCCTGAGCATGAGGAATGAATAGTTCCAATAAATTCGGCACTTCTGAATTCCCACAACAGATTCAATATCCCCCGGAGCGTAGGGCAATACCGTGGTACCATCCTGGCAGGCCATAATGAGCCCCTCAATTGTCGAGTGGGTTGAAGTGGGAAAGAGAAGGTCAGGTTCTTTGATAAGCCGAGGTATTCAATGCTGTTAAAGAAGACCCCATGCAATGGCTAATGGCTTATTCTTATGTTGCATTAGGAGTAAAGTGATCTCTGCTGCTCTGCTCGTTCACTGTCGAAAACTAATCCGAGTTCACCTGCCGCTCGGCTGATTATTATTATTAGTATTATCTTTAATGGAATCTGAACGGAATCATTCGCGAATTTCTGAGCAGTAAACTGAAAACAGATTGAAAATAACAGCCAAGAAACTAGCAGGACTTCTTTCGTAAATTTACTGCTGCCGATAGACATGGTCATGAATATACTCAAAGTATCTGCTTACTCTCTGGAATATACGTCAAATTCAATTCAGTTTTCGTAAATTTGAGGTAAGCATTAATGAAACATCAATTTTTGTTATGATTTCGTGGGTTGTCAGGAATAAATCATAGGATTTGCATAATATACAAGCTCTAAGTAGAAGAAAGAAGAGCTCTGAAATCATGAAACAAGTGGTTTTTCGTGTGTAAGTACTACGAACAAACATAAAACGAATATTAGACTTTCAGTTGTATAGTAGGTACTTCAAAACTATTATTGGTTATTGATCATATATGAACACTATGACCAAACATAGAATGTATATTGGTAGTTTCAACTCGATTAGGTATGCAATATTGGAAAGTAAATTTCAATTTCTGTTTGAACATCGTGCATAGCATAGTGTTGGCATCCAAAAACAGTGGGTTATTGACGTGAAGAACTGTTTAACGAATATTTCTCAATCCAACAACATTCAAACTTATTTCGAATTTATTATTTTTACATCAATATTAATTACTTTTTTTGTTTTATTTCCTGAAAGACTATGTATTTTCGTTTTATCACCTATTGTATTTGATTGTTTTTTTGATATTACAATTTTTCAACTCGAATATTAGACTTCTAATAGACTTCTAATAATCTCTTCGTTATTTGAGGAAAGTAATTTAAAAAATATTTTTCAACAGAATGAATTTACATGGAAACAAAAAAACGCATGTACTCATTCGATGTTTCATGTTGAGTATAGTATATATTATTATTAATCACGACGTTATAGTGTTGAGGTCAAATTCGGAAGATTAGTTATTGCTGGTGCATTCATTTCATTTTATGTATATGAAACACATTCATGAATAAAAAAAGTATTCAAATATCCTCAGTAAAATTTACTGTTTGTTTTCAAGTCATTGTTTATATTATTTTCACGTCAGCAAGTGTTTTATATTTATATTTTACACAAAATGTAATTTTCTAGTTGTTCTGACAAAGGTAATAAAGATACCGAATGCTTGACGAATATCAAAAAGTATTCTTAACTTTATCTCAACTTACATAAACATGTAATTCTCCAAAAACTTTAATTTTTTTGTGAATGGTAATATTTATTCCAATAACAGGTATATTACAAGTATATTAACTACTTTATTAACTGATCTAGATTTTCAGCAGAAATTTCGTTTTCTAAAACAAAGAAGTGTATCAATCGATAATAAAATGATTTTTGATCCGCATTATAAATATCGAGAAACACAAATCTAAATAGTACGCGGGGCAGATTAACAAATGGTTGAAGTAAAGCCATTATTACTCGTGTAATGTCTGCACCATGCCTATATATCATATTCCTAATGAATTTGATGATTATATTCATAGATAATTTTCATTATTATGATAAACGTAATACCACTTAACAGTATTGTCCCTCGTCATGTGCGAAATACGATGATGGTCCTAGAAGTACCCGGCCTGATCTAGAGATGGCAGTAGTTGTTCGAAAAATATCAAAGTATCAGAAAGTACACAATCTGTAAAACATATGTTCATATGCGTTGTTTAATATTTGTTTGGCAACCATCAATAGCAAACGTGAATTTGTGAAAATGGAGAAGATTGGTCATCGTTATATGTGGTACAATACTTTCATTTCTACTTTGTATACAATAGTGAAATATTGGGTAGCAGAGTTTGACGAGACCGTACAAGCTGCTAAGACGTACATCATAGTGGTCGATCAAATGAGGTGACGACTCCAGAAACGGTGGAGAAAATTAATAAAGTGGTACTGAATGATCGTCGACTCAAAGTCGCGAGCTAACAGACTTAGTAGACATTTCAAAAAGTGCGGTAGATCGTATATTATCAGAAAATTTGTACATGAGGAAGTGGTGTGGAAGACGGGTGTCACGTTAACTCACGATCGAACAAAAACAGTGTCGTGAAGATGTTTCAATTGAGTGATTAGCGAAGTTTCACATCAACAAAGCAGAATTCTTACATCGTTTCATAACAATGGATGAAACATATTTCCATCACTTTACACCCGAAACTACCAAAGCAATGGACTCAACAGGGAGAACCATCTCCAAAGAAAGCGAAGCCCGTTTCATCTGCAGGCAAAGTCATGGCATCGGTTTTTTTAGATGCGTGTGGGATAATTTTCATTGACTATCTTAAAAAAGTAAAACGGTGAGTATTACGCAAACTCATTGCGACAATTAAGTAAAGAAATCAAGCAAAAACGGCCGCATTTGGTTAGGAAAAAAATTAATAAAATTAATGAATTGAAGTTTGAATTGTTACCACTCCATTCGCCAGATTTAGTCCTCTGGGATGTTGTTGTTCCTAAACTTGTGAAAATGGCTCAATGGTCAAAGATTTTCCAACGACGAAGCAAGACAGTTCTTATTATAAAAACGTTGTCCAACTGGAAAAAGTCGCTGGAAAAAGTGTATGGCGCTGCAAGGAAGTTATGTTGAAAAATAAATAATTTTTTTTCTAAAATTTTTGTGTATTCTTTGTTGGGCCTGGTACTTCTATAACCACCCCCGTATACATAATTTTCTTACAAGAGTAACAGTATTCGGATGAATAAAATTCTACACCGATATTAATTCAATTGAAAATAAATCAAATGATTTCAGTCAGCAGCGTAATGCATTCAAACTAAAATAAATTTTCATAAATTTACTTTTCGGGTACAATGTGGTTTTGAATTAACCATAAAAGTATCCAAACGAAATATATAGTGGTAGAATTTAATTAGATGTTGGTTCAAATACATTTTTTTTTAAATTACAAGCTAACCTTTTTGTTTTGGTGAACATTGGAATACCAATAATGTGAACGATAGGCCTACGATTCCTAATTGAAAAACTACGCATTGCTCTATTTTTGTCAATAATTTCAGATCTATTGTTTCTATAAGAAAAGGCATCAAGTTTTTTCTGTAGTATTCATTGAAATCTTCAAAAATGACTCCATTGAAGTATGGTATATTTTCATTTTTTTAAACAGAAATTAAGAATTTTTCAGTTTTCAAGCAACATTTTCAACGGTAACAAAAAAGGTTCAATGTGTACGCTTTTTATCTTTTATACGAAGGGTAATGAAAACATTCTATCAAAAAATTTCACAACAACTCACTCAAATTCTTTCCCTATATTCCATAACAATAATTTCTTATTCCAGAGACCGATTCCGGACCGCCATTAATGTCATGGGAGATGCTTTTGGAGCTGGCATAGTCTACCATAGAAGTTTGAAAGAATTAGGTCTTTTGAAAACCTCTGATGATTCGAATCGAGTTGAAAAGTTAGATGGCAACAGACCTCCAGATTATCCAGGAGAGAACGAAAATCTAACAGCTGAAACCTCTCACTGATACACGGAAACTGCTGCCATCCATGTCGACTGCACGATTAAACTTGTTTCATTTTTTTTTCAAAATTCCAGAATGTATGAAAATGATAAAAAATATACCGACATTACTTTTTCGAATTCCTTGATTTTCACAAAATGAATACATTTCATTATATCATTGTTTATATTAATTTAGCAATAAAAAACGTCAGATTATTTATATTTTCTCTATGTAAAATAGAAATAATTGTTCAAAATTTAAACAAAAATTATTGAATTTCATGTCAATGCTGAATTCAATAAGAATGTGAATAAGGAAAAGTATTTGGCAGTTCTGATAATGGGAAACGAATCGCTTTTTTATATTGAATACCACCTATTAAAATATAAATAAATAGCTGAAGTATAAATTGAAGGTCATTATTTCGCGAACAATATGCGTTTCACCACAATATTTATTCGAAACCTTTTTGAATGTCGATTTTTTATGTCTACTCGAAATATGTCATGTCACCGATTTTTGATACCTAAGTAATACGTTAATATATGGTGAACAATTATTACTTCAATTCAGTGAGATAATTCACCATAATTATTATCAATACCGAATAGTAACATTGGGCTATGGTAGTCAAATGTCTGAAATGAAACTTACTGGATATTTATTGAAATCAGTTTGTTCTACCAGAAAACATGCGGACAATATAAAACGATGAAAACATATACAACATATAATAATCTTATTGAGATGTTTTGTGGGATACGAAGTATAAAAAATAGTGAAGTGTTGTATAAGGAAAAGTGTTCAAGTGAAATCCAACTCAAGGAAATACATATAACAAGGACTCGGCAGAATATGCATCGAATGTAGAGGATATTATAGTATAACAACTTTCAATTGAAGGTAACTCATATTCAAATTGAACTGAGAGCTAACGGCAACAATGTTAAATGTTAGAACTAAATTCTTATCGGGGTCATTTTTATTGTCTATGCATCGCCATTGTAAATAATTCAAAAGATACTACTGTAACTAGTTATCGTCAAGCATTTGTGGACAGTTTATCAACAAGGTTACGTGGACCAACGGATAAAGGGCAACGACTAATTGTCGCTTATATAGGTAGCGAGAATGGCTTTTTAGACGATAGTGCACTAATTTTGTTATCCGAAAAACGGGGGATTATCACGAAGACATGGACGCCCAACGCTTTGAAGGATGGTTTGAATCCCTTCTTTCACGAGTCGAGCCAAATTCGGTAATGGTAATGGATAACGCTTCTTATCACAGCCGATTAGTAGAACAGCTGCCAACTATATGACCACCAGAAAAGCAGACGTGCAGAGTTGGTTTGGACTAAAAGGAATTCCATTTTCCGAGGACATGGTTAAGGCCGAGCTTATGAGTGTCATTAAACAGATATCGTGACAGATATCGCCAGCATGGTGTGGATACAATTGCTCATGCTGAATGCATCACCATTTTGAGACTTCCTCCTTACCATTGTGAGTTGAACCCGATAGAATTAATCTGGGCTCAAATTAAGGGTAACATAGCTCGTCAAAACGTGACATATAAAATTTCTGATGTCCAACGTACATTAGAACTCGCAATGGAACGATTACGGAAAGAAGATTGGGCTAATACTGTAGCCCATGTGATCAAGGAAGAAGAGAAAATGTAGAGATTGGATGGAATGGTAGACACTGTTTTCGACCAAATAATAATAGATTTAAATGCGACTGGGGATTCCTCTTCGGACGAGTCAATGGATTCTGAAACTTCATAAGCATAACATAGGTAATTATTTCTTCGCTTTGTAGTTCTCTTTCCATATAAAAGGAATATAATAATTATTTTGTAAATTTTTCAGTTTTTTTGAAGTACACATGGATTTTTTACGCCAGATAAGATATCGAAGTTTCGTATTTGTCAAAATTATGAAATTTGAATTATGTTTCATTCGAACCGGAAAATATTCGAAAAAATGAAAAAAAATTGGAAAAACGTCGAAGTGACAGTAGAACATTCTAATTTGAAAAAAAAACGTATAAAATTGAAAACTGAGGGATTATTGGTAACATTTTTCAAAATTTCCAAAAACACCTATTTTATTCAAAATTTTCGGAAAAAATGTCAAATTTGATAGGTGGAAAGTAGCACATGACAAACAGACAGATACTGTATCACATTCATTTTTCAAACATATATTCACTACGGAATTGAATTTTGAATAAATTTATTAATAAAAAAACCTCCATATATTGCGGACTTTCGTGAGACTCTGATTTCAAAATTCCAATATTTATTTGTTTACTATGGACAAACAAAATCGAGATTTTCAAAATTAGGAATTTTTAAATTTCTTGGATATACTCTTCAGTGGAGCCGACATTTTCATTTGTAACTAACGTTACAAATGAAAGTGGTGCAGTTTCGTCCTGTAAGGACATTTTAAAACTTATGCATTAATTTTCAATGTATAAGTTTGAAAATGCAGTTTAATCCTATAAAGACATTTTCAAACCTATACATTAATTTTTAATATATAAGTTTGAAAATCGAAATTGCAGTAACGGTAGTTACAAATAAAAGTGGTAAATAACATAGAAAGTTTAAATTCTCTTTTCTTCATTATGATTTGATATATTGTGCTGTAGCACTAGGAAGGAGTATACATTTCTGTATTTCTATTGGAATATTTTTTTTTCTTACATTTTTTTACGTTTGAATCAATAGTTGTGTATTGACTTGTGAATAAGTAAGCGAATTGTTGTTAGCTATAGATACAATCTTTTATCTTGAAATTTTATCATTTTATATTATTATAGTGCCCTAATTTATTTGTTTAGTCCCACACAATCTTGCTTAAGGGGTCTTTTTTGCATTTATTTCTACTTCACATTGTATACATCAGTTACTGTCAAAAATTAGGAACTGTTTGTAAAAATACATTTTATTTATTCATTTATTCATTCATAATGGTGTTTCTGTGCGTAGATACCTTCAATCATTTCTAGTTGGATGAAAAAAGGCATTATGCCTAATTCACATCAATATTTTGAATAGATGTATTCTAATTGACCAAGGATTTATTTCGAACTTGAATTTCTGCAGGATATTCAGCATTTCAAGGTGATCATAATACGTATTATTTTCTTCTGTGTTACGATATCGCAGTTTATCTGTGGCATTTATCTCCTCAAGGTCGTATTGACTCAACAGTTCATCGATTTATAATATTCTCAGGTATAGCTGGCGTCAAAAGTCGAGATATTTTAAAAGAATTCAACATTCTATAAACTATATTTATGAAGGTATTTATTTTTTTTTTTATTATGCATATGTCCTTGTATACAAAAATAGGTATAATTTTGTATGCCATGAAGATTTTCATTCTTAAAATGCTGGATGTGACAACTATCTTTGTAAACCTTTCTCTAAAGTTAAGATTTAATTATAAAGCAGCAAATAGAATCGATATAATAGTTATCAATACGCTACCCGATTCTTTAGGGAGTCTGGAACATAAACCAGAAACACCTGAAACAATATTTGATTGATACATGTTGATATTCAATGAAAGAGTACTACCAACTTCTTAGTTTATAAAGCATATACGTGTTATGCGTATACGAATAAATGTGTACACATTTATGTACACTAGCATATCCCAGTATGATATGTTATTTGACTATTCCTATAAAATATAATTCATCTACAAGAAATAAAATGATTATATTTGATTTCATTGAATGACATGATTCAATGAATAATTCAAGTAACACTTTTGCGTGTTACTTGAATACGTTATAAATTTTCATCAAGTATCTGCCGATTCCATCAAATATGATTCAATAAAGCTGTGAAGAAGTATTGTTTTAGTTCATCCTTGAGCAAACAGATAGTGACCAGAACTTTTAATTTTTTCTCGCCCTTAAAATACAGGCTTCAATTTGAAGTGATTTAAGAACATAGGCTTCCATAGCTTGAGTCACGATTGAGTGAAATAAAATTCGGGTTGAGAGGCCTTGGTCGAATGGAACCCGAAGTAACAAACGTTTCGATTGCTACTATGGCAGACATCATCAGTGGTGATGTGCGTTGACTACGAGGACGAGAGTCAGTCGATGCTGAGACTTCGAGAGATAACCTTCGTCCTCGCAGTCAATGCAAATACCACTGATGATGTCTGCCGCACTAGCAGGCGAAACGTTTGATACTTCAGTTTTCATTCGACCAAGGGCTATCAACCCGGATTTTGTTCTCTTCAATTGTTAGGTGATTGTTTATACACTAGGAAAACAATTATGTTATGACCATCTTTGCTTCATTTTTTTTACTCATTTGTTGTTTTGGAAGACAGAAGGATGATGCATCATTAGCATACATGAATATTCAACAAACCGTTATATGAAAGAGAAGATCATTCGTGCACAAAAGAAATAGCAGCCCTAATACGTCTATAGTGTAGGTACTTCGAGACCTTAAATTTTTCTCGAATTTGTAAAAAATTCAGGTTTAAACGTATCAAGAGTAAAAGACAAATCGATGAAAATGTCCATATTCATTTGATACAGTTTCAGCTGGAAATCCTTAGCGAAAAGCATGTTTGGTGCGAAGCTGTTATTTTATATTATATTGTCTGGTAAGTTTTCATCCTGCTAATTCGCTTTTAAGTAAACTGGAATTACTTTCAAGTTGTGAAATTTCCAGAAAAAACTGAACTACTTATTATTTTTGTAAGAAACGAGGTTCAGTTGGAACTTCCTTAATAGAGAGACGTGAAATTGTCGGTCGAAAATGATTGGAAAAAATACTTACAGATTATTATTGAGCCCATAATATATCCACTTACCTAGAACAAAAAATGCAATTTGAAGTGATAGCACAAACCAAATTATTTGTTTATCAAATTCTTCGGAATGAACTGTATGAAGGTAATAGATTTTTAAATTGAAAGGGATATATTTTAATGGGAGATTAATTTTTGGGAACGGAAGGTTTTGGCTTTCTACTTCTCCATCTTTATATGAAAAAAATGTGGAAATCTTCCAAACAAAGAAAGGATTCAATCAATTTCAGAAAATTGATTCTACACAGAGATTTTTAGCTTTCTTTGATGGGCTAAGTTCTTAAACATGACAAGTTACTGAACATTTTTCTTTATGTGAAATACTTCGAATTTACGCAGTAACTTATCAGCGCGAAATAAAA